CAAAGGAGATACCTTCTCCAGAGCATAAAGAAAGTTGTTCTTTGCTCAATGCAAAATATCCCACCCAAACTGATTCTACTGCCATGTACAAACCTGTACTAATTCAAGCAGCAATTAAGCCGGGCCTCTGAAACCAGGTTTCCATTACATGAGCTCTGCCAAAGCAGAAGTTTTTTAGCAGCCTCAGCTTGTGAAGTGTCTTCCTTGTCCAAAGCCAGATTGATTATACTGATAACCTCCATGCTGGAAGTGCTGCTCAAACTGCCCCCCTTGATTAAAGTTCTGTCCACCTCTGCCCCCCCAGCCTCCTCCTTGACCTCCACGGCCACCACGACCGCCACGGCCACCCCTCCCTCCTCCACGCCCACCCCCACCTCGGTCACTGTGGGACCCACCATCTTGGTATCTGTTGTCTTGCTGGTAGCCACCACCCCCTTGGTAGCCACTTCCTGAATATGAAGATGACTGGTAGCCACCATAGCCTCCTCCTTGGTAGCCACCACCTCCACCACCACTGTGGTAGCCGCCTGTTTGAAAACCTGCATCTCTGTAGTTGCTCTCCCTGTAGCTGCCATCCTGGTAGCCACCACCTCCACCATCTGTCCAACCTCCTTGAAGCTTGTTTCCTCTTCCACCTCCTCTGCCACCATGATCATAACCACCACGTCCTCCTCGTCCCCCTCGGTCATGGCTTCCTTGTTCATGACCTCCTCGCCCTCCATATGATGAGTCATAGCCTCCTCTTCCTCCTCGGTCATGACCCCCATGGTCATAACCTCCTCGCCCTCCATATGAGGATTCGTAGCCACCTCTTCCTCCTCTGCCACCTCCTTGTTGCGGACCAGCCTCTGGCCTTTTCTGCCACGGTGGCATCTCAGGGGGTGGCGGTTCAATTTCATTGGGCCTTCCTCCTCTGTCAGGCACTCTGCCCATTAGCACCTGCAAAGGAAAAGGGAGAATTGCTGTAGGAGTTGTAACACCTTACAGAAGAGTCACATTTACTGATACACACCACAAACAGCAGCCACTCAAGAGTTCGTGCATCCAGAGGATTTCATCAAGGGAAACTTTTGTCTGTTTGAATGTGACAGACCTTCATGCCCAATTAATAAAAATTGAACAGAGATTATCTAGTACTCCAAGCACTGCTAACAAGACAAGTCAGAAGACCTGGGGTTTTTGTTCAAACAGCAGGCACACCAGTAGAAGCAGCATCAATACACTCACTAAACTGTTTACTAGTGCAGACTGATAGTCTCAAACAACCACAAGTATAGCGCCACACAGTCCCTCTAACTAGTGCTCTGAATTGCTGTAGAAGCCATTGGCTTGATAAACAAAGTGCAGATTTTTTTTTTCAGGACACGCAAAAACTTAAACACCAACTAATGAGTGTCAGACAGCACTGATCAGAGTTGAGCAAGACTCTAGGGGTCTTTAGCTGTCTAAGGATGCTGTGACATTAAGAATTTAGCAAGACTTAAAATGGGACAGGACACTTGCATTATTTCAAGATTTTAAACGATGTAACAGAAAAACTTAAATGGAAGTAACTCTGTTACTGTCTTGGAAAACATTTAATATTGATAATGGAGATAACAGAATATGGATCGGCACCAGGGCAGCATTGCATTCCTAGTAAGACACATACGGTCTGATGGTAGTCACAACTGCCTTCCCATTTAATTTCTTACATTCCACACTCCAACTACACTAAAAAGTTATTTGGGGTGGAGTGGTCAAATTGGCACACCACTATTCTATCCCAAATTAATTAGAACTTTATCTGAAATACAGTTGGTACCCAGAAGGCAGAAAAGCATGCATGTGCACCCACAAATTTTAAAGAAACAAGTACACTGCTGTACATAGCTACTGAGCTTTGAGTTCAGCATGTGTGCTTTTGTGAGCCTATTAGTCTTGTGAAATGATAATTTTTGAAACAAAGTAAATTGCTTAGTCTAAATCATATTTCTACTATGTCATTACTAAGACTGCACACTTGACTATAATCTCTTTTATTTGCATACATAGGGGACTAACTTGTAAGAGTCTTGCTTCGTGATCTTAATACATTCTATTTACATAGACCAGAAAAACTGTTACTACGTAGGTGTTATTTTAGACACAGTGGCAGAATTAGGTAGCAGCAGTGTAATGACATCAGTAATTCTGGTAAGACAGAGCAGACCTACTCCCACTGAAAGTAATCAAAGATATTACAGCAATTTTTTACTGTCCTAAGAAGGGACACTCTGAACCTAAAAGGTGAAACTGCAGTTCCCATAATGTACGGATGCATAATCTGGAGTACAGAAACACTAAGTTTCTTGTCCTTTATTTCCAAATTCCACTTACAACTGTAAAAAAGTCGGATTTATTACTACATTCAAATTACTTAAATATTCACCACAGAACAAGATATTTGTCACCAAAGGTACCTTATTAATGGCACATGCAGTCTTCTCTCGGATGGACCCACTGCTTGTTCTCATAATCTTTGACAGATCCTGCCGAGCTGCCAAGAGATTTGCAATGGAAACAGTGCACTTAGTAGATAAGAGGGCACGTTTTGGCTGGTAGACTTTAGCCAGTTTTTCTGTTTGACTCTGTTAGAAAGAAGAGAAACAAAACCCAGTTAGCTAATGTAATAGGAAAGCAATGGGACACATCACCGAAAGAATCAAATCAACACTGAAGAACAAGACACTACTACAAACAACAAAAATTAATATAAGAACAGTGAGATCCACTCTATAACTAAGAATCACTGCAACAAAGCTAGCATTTGTCAAATTAACTTCTCAACATAGCAAACACTACTCTGAATTTCCAAGACACTGATCTTCTGACAGTTTTAAGATTATCAATATATACATGCAGACTGTATTACTTTCAGGCACAGAAGTGTGTTGTATAGTTATACAAACTACTGCTAATGTCTAAAAGATACTGAAACACATCTGTGTCCAGCCTCCAGACCGCCTTCTGTGCCTGCACCCTGATGCACACTCATTCCAGTTAGGTGATGGGATGCTAGCCTATCTCAACACCGTATCAGCAGAAAAAGGCAGCGATAGCTCTTTCACACTCTTCATTCCAGTCAGCTTCTTCACAAAGGCAAGCCATAAAAAGGTACTGGCAGAATTCTCAAGTGCTTGCTCTAATTCAGTCCTTTGTCTGGGCATATGTAGTGCTCAGGCTAGAAATTACATCCTACATGTCAACTTTGCCTTGTATGTGGAGTATCTCTCTTCCTCTACTGCCTTTTGGCATTAACCATACTGGCTTTTTTGAACACCTCAAAAGTATGACAGCAGTTTTCCAGCTGACAGAGACAACAGAAATCTGTGCTACCAGCCATGAGTTAACACACGAGTTACACCTATCTTCAGTTACCAACAGAGTTAATGTGTGATACAGTTAAGATAAACCACATCGTAATCTACACACAGACAAAAGGGCTGCTTTTTGTCTGGACCCCAGATGACAGCAGTGGGGACAGGCAAATCTGGTTTTCCAACAAATCTCTTAACACAGCAAATTTTAAAATCCTATTTTACATCTAAAGGCAGAAAACTAGAATTGGGAAGAAGTGACAGTATGTATTTCCATTTGACTCTGTGGCAAGTTTTTAAACCAAAAAGCTTCTACCTTTATTTACAAGTTGAACTCAGTTTATTCCAAATGAAGGAAAACATGCAAATCATTTACCTGACACCGGCTAAAGACAGGAAAAGCAACAGTATTCACCAGAGCAGTAGTATATTTCTCCCTGGCAAGTTTCACTGAGCTCTGAGCAGAGTATTTTGGTGCTATGATATTATTCTTTTAGGTGTAACTTGAAATTTTTAAACTTAAAAAAAAACCCTAATCAAGTTTTTACTGGTGTTTCTACTATCTGGAGAAGTAGCTATTTAGTTATACTACTGTATTCTGATACTTTTCAAATTTTAAAATAAAAAAAATTACCATCATGTAGTAAAGCACTGTGAAAAGTTACTGTTAAAACAAACTGTATTGCATGTCTGGAATACTACAGCCCCATTCTCCGATTTTGTATTGTTATGGTCCTAAAAAAATTTAAGATTTGCATTTCAATAGATAAAAATGCATATATACAATTTTTGTGAAACGGTTTCATGTAACTAGTCTAGTCCAAAACCACCTGAGAAGTCTCCTAAGGAAAAAACAAACAAACATAGATTTGGATGCCAAAGCCACAACACAATTAGAAGCCCCTGGTTTTTAATCTAATCCATACTTTTCCCAATTTTCATTCACTATTAAAATATTCAATCAACCAAATAGTTCTTCAGTCATCTACTAAAAGAACTGAGGAACACAAGGTTTAAGAGATAGTACACCAGTAGAAGTCCTACTCAGGTGATGAAGCAGAAAAGGGAAGAGGTCACAGTTTATTATTAAAATAGTTGCTTTTTGAATAAATCATTTATCAAGAAAAAACCCTTGATGATTCATGTGTCACAGTTTATCACTAGTAACTCAGTCTTAAGCACTGCCAGTAGCATAATTGACAGCATGTTAGCAGATCTGGTTTAGTCCTAGACAATAAATCATTTTTTAAATCTTGTCATTCCTTTTTCACTATGAAATACAAGAAATAGGGAAACCATGTCATTATTTTAAAAAGCAGAATATGCATCACACCTTTGAGAATAGTCAGTGTTAGGTTAATGGTTGGACTAGATGATCTTCAAGGTCTTTTCCAACCCATATGATTCTGTGATACTCAGAGAGAACAGATGTCATGTCACAGCCACTTGCACAATTCAAAGACAAAAGCAGCACATAAAATATTACTCCGTCTATGAAGTAAGAACAAGTAGTGCCTTAGCAGATTTTCTCATGTGCATCTGTGGAGCTGTGCTTTCAGACACACTTTGAGTTAAGGAAATCTGATCACTATGGACAGCACAACTTACCAGTTAAAGGATGGTCTAGAGGAAGATGTTTTTCTACCACCACACAGAGACAGCACTTAGTGATTCACATTATGGTACTCTGAACACAAAGGGTTGGATCAGTAATCTCCTCTTACTATTTTTTTTTTAGTGGCCTATTTAACTGTATGTTTTGGCTTTGGCATCTAGTTACACACCATCTACCTTCTCAATTTACATACTGTTTTAAAATCCAAACAAATCAGTTTGAAGTAAAAATTTTAGTCATCTTACATTGTCATAAACTACTTCAGAAACTCAAACCAAAACCAGACAACTCCTGTGATTATTTCTTAGTCGTGAAGGATGAAACAATGAGGAAGCAGTTTTTCAGAGATACTTATTATAAAGCATTACCATCAACCAAAACTTCACAGTAAGTTGTTTGTACCTTAGCTCTATCTGACCAGCCAAAGGACTGCACAGTAACATCCAAACGTTTGACTAACAGTTTTCTTCGGACTTCATATTCATTGACTATGGCTTGATTAATTGCTTCAATTTTTTCCTGAAACAAAAAATTTGAAAACATAAAACCTAGAGATTATAAATAAAACGTTTCTACTTAAGATAATAAACTATGCGGATGGAAAAGAATAACCCACAGAGATATTAAAAAGGGCTTAGGTCTGCAATTACCTACCTTGTCAAATGGGCTCACAGCAAGCTATGCCTGCTGACACTAAATTTCCTGAAGGCTTCAAAGGCTCTGCTATCCTCATGTTTAGCCTTCTACCATTTCTAACAGCACAGTTGTCTTGTTTTTCAGAAGGGACATCAAAACTGCATGCATCACTGAGGCATTTCTCAATGCCCACCAGGATAGAGAAGTGAGAAAATACTACATTCAACAAACTGAAGGGGATGCAAGGACATACGTTAAGTCCTAGAGACCAGAGTGTCCTTGCCTTTTTAAAAAGTAGTAAGCTTAAGGACAAAAGACAGAGCAAAGATAGAGGACTAAAAGTAATGTACTGTAAGAGGATCTTGATTAAAGGACAATCTGCATACAGACAAGACAACTAAGTGCCCCATGGGGAGAAGCCACCACTAAAAACACACCTGGTAGCAGACAATGGTCTAGTCAGAGCAACACTTGAGATATGCACCATTAAGGAAATAATTTATGTATTGGGTGAAGCCTGTTGGATGGGGGCAGTGGGGCCCACTTTCAGTCTCAACAATACAAGAACTGAAGGAAGCAAACCGCTGGGACTAGATAAGCAAGAGACACAAGAGAGACTCGCAGTCTTGCAGCAGCAGCCATAGTTTCATGCTGGTGCAGCAGCAATATCTAACACAGGCACCATCCTTGTAGAACTGCAGGTGATAAAACACAACTAGAAATGATTGTGCCTCTGCCACCTGGGTGAACAGCCTCTTCCAGCTTCCACCTGCACACTCACTGCTTCTTGGAGAAAAGGCTATGAAGGAAGCAGACTACTCCAGCAGGACAGAAAGAGAGGAAGAAATGATGGGAAGACCCACAGGTTAGCTGGAAAGAAGCCACAGGAGGGGATGTGACAAGATCTCAGCAAGGCTAGGTCACACAGACAGTGATGGCAAAGGGCAGGAGAGGAAGGCTTAAGCTACTGCACAAGCATGCAGGTCAACACCACCACTGTAAATCTGCTATTTCGGAACACTTTTGCCTGCATCTGGACATACAGAATCACAAGCCTAATATCTTAACTGTTGCTGCACATTTATTGTACCAACATATATGTAAAATCCTGCAAGAAACTGTTTTATTTCCAGAAAGAGATGAGAAAAATCATTATGCAACATTATACACAGAATCAGTATTTCATATACCTGAAAAAAGGAAATGAGCTTTAACACCTGCAACTACTTACCCAGTGAGCTGGTCCCAGTTGTTTCTTCAATAAAGGTTTTCCAACATGATTAGGTGGAACCTTTGCTAGAGTTTCCTTCAGCTGTGAGGAGATATATAAGAATGTAAGCATTGGCTAAAAAAAATAAATTAAAAAATCAGATTTTCAAAGATTAAAATTACAGGAGAGGACTCTTGGACAGTCATTAGGCATGTCAGAGCAACCTCCAATATCAAGTTGTTTTCTCTGGGACAGAGAATCAAGCACACTTCCTTTGGAAAACAACTATTTTTATATTTCTGGTAGTCTTGGCTATAATTATTTAAAAATTAAGAGAATGAACTATGGAGCAGATCTACAGTTAAAACAGAAAGATTCTATGAGGTACAGTGCCCCTTGAAGACAGAGGGATTACTCTACACATCATCTCTTTAATTCTGAAAAACCCATACTTGCATCAAAATCTTGTATTATGTGAAATATAACACAACCTAAAGAAGGACCCCTCTTTACAAACAAAAGGAGAAAATCTTCAATATAAAAATTTAAATTTAACTTGCATTTTAGAAATTTGGGCACAACTTTGGTTATCTTTCACATCTCAGAATTTCTGAGGACTTTACAGGGAAGAAATGGAGTAGCAGTAACAAAAACTTGGATCAAAGCAGGTTGGAGTTATGAAAACACTTTTCCACTGCTGCAAGCCACATTTTTCAACTTCCTTAGCTGTTCATTCCAGCAACTGATTTAACAGAGTGACCAGTTTTCCAAAGGTGCTGAGCCAAATTAGTTAACTTGAAGATTTAAAAACCAAGTGCTTTCGGAATAGTAGAGGTAGCAGTTCATTCAGGTATCAGCAGTTTCTTTTTTTAATGTGATGGATCATTAACCAAGAGAGTCAATTATACAAAGATCTTGCTCCAAACTGTACTGTGTACGCGTGAAGAAAAAGGAAGCTTGATTTTCACATGCTTGATCAGCATACTGCCATTCTAAGAATCACTTTTTAAAATTAAGAAAATTTAGGGTGATCTCTTAACTATAATCTTACTCTTGACTTAATCTAGTCAAGAGTCAAATTTTCACTCTATGTTATTTAAGTTTTCACATCTTGCTCAACTTCATGATGCAATTTCATTTACAAAGTTAAATAATTTTTTCAGTTATTAGTCAGCTTTACTTTCTTCTTCTCAAATACTACCAACATCTGAAGTCTTTAGACTGTAAGCACCACAGCTATATATGATTTCTAAAAAATCCTGTAGGTTAGAAATTCCTGATTTATTTTATTAAGCTATAAGGACTGTTGCAGTGGTTTTTTTAGTATAAACACCTATATAAATCAATGAGATAACATTCATTTAACCTTAATGATTTCACAAGGTGTATGCAAGTCTGACTTTAAAGATTTTAATCTACCTTGTGTTCTGCATTTTTATAGAGCCTCTTTCACCAGCAAAGCTTGCTAGCATTGTTCATTGTTATGAGTATTTTCTACCTTTTACAGAAAACAAAAGCACTATTTAATGCCCCAACAAGAAAACAAACTGCTTCCATTCTACACCTTGGACTTCCGCTGGAAAACCATCCTCCTCTTCTTAAAGAAGTAAATTCAAACTGCTTTCTTGCAAAGAAATGAAGCACTATTTTCAGTTGGTTGGGTTTAAGTACAACACAACTAAAAGGTTGGTCCAAAAACTTCTCAAAGTATTTTGAGGAGTTGTTTTTTAAAGTTCACAAAGGTTCTCCTCTGCTCTTCTGCTCTCCCCTATCCTGCAAGTTATTTAATGTAACTTTAAAACTTTCTGTCCCCAACCTTGGGTCTGTGCACTAGACAGTCCACTCCATTTCTCTGCTTTATAAAAATTACTCAAACAAAAGTAAATTTATTTTTTAAAAAAACACAACAGTCTGGAGAACACATACATGTAAAGGAACAAAAATAAATGGAACCACAAGAACTGATGAAGCCTTAGGGAAAAGGTGTAAGCTTTACTTTAGTTACAACACCTTTTAACCTAAACATTTTTAAAACAGTAGGTTCCTGTAAAAATTTATTTAGGAGTATGTCTTGGAATATGTTTCTCCTTAATGTTCTTGCTGAGGCCTAAGCTCAGCATTTACCATGTCTTCTGCAACAGGTGATGACATTAAAACCTAGAGCAGTAAGAAATACCTCACCCCATAAGGCAATGATAGCAGTAGTCCCTGACCTCGTGCCTTGGCATGGAAAAAGCCTTTAAATTCAGTTTCAAAATCCTGACTCTTGGCATATTTAATAAACCATGTTAACTCTCCTTCACAATTCAATCACTGGAGTTTCACAAGAGGCAAATCTGTCCCTGGTAGCAGAACTATTTTCCGTCAAAACAGCAACATCATAAATATTCTATTTTTTTTTCCTTTGGATCTTACTTTTTTTTCAATTCCACTGAAGAACTGGAACATCGTTATGTTGGCTGGAGGCTTGGACATGCCTAAAGCAATACATATGCCTTTTAGCTCCTGAAAGACTTCACTGCCACCTCCTTCCTGTGCTTTTTTAGGAGGGGCGTTCACACACAGCATTCTGGCAGCTTCCAGTTCTGAGATGAGGTATGCTGGGTAAGAAAAATTAGATTTCAGCATCAGATATAGCCGAGTTAAATTATTTAGAACCAGTGAGAACTCAAGTGCTTACAACCAACAAATGTGCAAATGGACTGTTTTAGAAATAGTTAGGGCTGTAATTTTGGTATCCACAGAATGCTCATATTCCTACTAATCACTGAGACCAGTGCTAGAAACACAAACAGGGGAAGGGTTTAGTACAACCAATTAAAGCCTGGAAAAAATCCCTATGATTCCAACAGGTATTAATCACATAGTTCAACAGAAAACAGCTCTTTTCCTTCAGGCTTTGCCCAGCAAAGACAGGAGACTAGGAACATGGAAATAAGCAGGATGAGTGATGGGACATGCACTTTAAGCTAGACAAGCAAGCACTCGTTGAGGCTTTACGAAATAAAGCAAGGATATGAGTAAAGAGAAGTGAAATGCTGGATGAATCTCCTCTACTTCCCAGGACAAGATGCAGAGTGGAAAAATAACTCCAGTTTTAAAAGTACTGTTGAGAATTCAGGTATATAGTAATTCCAGAAAGGAAGGCAGTAACTGATGAAATAGAACCTGAAGTGCTCTTCAATATATCAGAACTGCAAGAGCCTACCATCACATTATAACTGTTTTATCAAACAAAATATATTAAAGTCACAATTTCTGAACGTGATATACAGGCAAAATTTCAGCCTTAAGTATCGTTTATTGCGATACAAATTTAGCACACAGCCTTTCCTTGCAACTGTCACAGCTTTAAAGTTTGTATAAAATGTATATAAAAAAATTGTATATAAATGTATATAATAATGTATATAAATGTATATAATAAATGTATATAATAATGTATATAAAAATTGTATATAAAAAAATACAGAGGTATAACGATACTTTTATCATGAATCATACTGGGTGGTGATAACAGTAACATAAATACTTCTAAAATAAGTATTGAAAAATAGATACTGCACTGATAGAGACACACTTGCGAGCAAGGATGTAAAACCCATGGCTATACAAAAGCAGCTCAGTACCTATAAAATTGGGACAGATCAAAAGATTAAGAAAAGAACAAAACATTTTAGTGATCTCTAGAATTTCTTCTAGATCTCCAGAATGTCTTCTGCTAAACCCACAGAACACCTTATAAAGTTAATAAAATGTGTAAAGTGATGAAGAATTCTTTGTAAGTTCTTGCAGTGGTATTTTATACAGATTTTTCTTGTATTCAACTCCAATTATTTACACCCTGTTAGTACCTCCTGAAAAAGAAATTAGAAGCAGAATTTTGTTTCAAGCACTCAGAGATCACATTCAAGCTACCTTCAACCTCCTCTGACAAAGACTGAAATTTTTAAGTCTACCACTGTAAATATTCTCCAGATAGTGTTTCTTTTTTGCAGACCTTTTCTGAATCAACCTGAAACTCCTATACTTTTTATCTTTGCAGATGCCAGTACTTAATATTGTATTCTCATGATGCTGCACTCCAAGATAATCCTAACTACTTACATTTATTTGGTGCTTTCCTCTACCAGCAATACTACCACATCTTCCAACTGACATAAACTGTGCTGCATTTTGTTAAAATGTAAAATAACCTGGCATTCCATTAAAGAAAGCTATTCTGTTTCTCAAAAAAAATCTGGGTTTAGAGCTCACATACAAGAGGATACCTAATAAGTTAGCTAAATATAGGTAAAGAAAGCTATGCAACTATCACGGTACACAAAAAAAGGAGTTTGGCATCTATTTCAATTCCACATTTGAGAGTAAACACAGTATTCCTGCCAGATGGGATACCGGAGTTCAGCTTCTGAACATAGCCTTATATTACCAAAAGGTACATCACAGAGGACCTCTGGGATAAACTGTGTCACAGACAAGCCAAATTTATTGAATGGCTTAGCTTGCAGAGAATAAGATGAAGGGAAGATTGTTTGAGCTACAAAATAGTTTAAATGCAATAATTAGCTCACTTCATCTGACATTTCTGAACATGTTATCAAAACAAATTCAGATAAAATCTTACTACTCATCTTTCTCCTACTGTTGAAATACAGGAACCTAGTCTGTAATTCATTTCTTACATCTCAGCTGCAGGCAGAACTAAATTTCTGTTTTGAAAAGTTACAAGAATCAGCAGCAGCTGAAGAGGTAAATAAAACATTATTTATGTTAAATTTAAGATCAAATTAAAATTAATATTACAATTTCTATGTCTGACACTTGTAAAAATCTTTTTTGAAGCTATTTGCTTAGGGAGACTATCAAACAAACTGGGAGCCAGGGTAAAACATTTTCCCTTTCCCACAACAATTCCAATGGCTGTCGAAGTGTAGGAAAATGCGAGTCTTAGTACATCTTGCAAGTCATCACGGTGGGGGCTCCAAAATGATGATGTATCTGATGTTAGTGGTCATTTTTACAACCCTTCTAAACAAAATTCAGTGGCTAAAACCTGGCAGAAGTCTTCAAATTATTCCCTCTTCAGAGAACCTTTTGAGAAGTCATAGGACAGGCTTTTTGCTGGTGAACATGAAAAAGGTTAATACTCAGTATTTATACTGGCTGCAGAGTGACTGGTAAATTTATGAAACCCAGAAGTACAATATTCTGACACTGTAAATTACAGGGAAAAACAACTCATAATTTTAGGTAACGTTTTTTGTATCTTGTGGTAAACAAAACAGTATCTCATTAAGCGTAAGAAACAATACTACGATTCTTGCACAAAATCAGATTTGCTTGCAAGCACCCTTTTAACTTACTAAGCAGCAAGAGACAGTTCTTCTGATTATGAAGGCGTTTTGTCACATCTCCTGATGTTAATGATGCATATGGACAGTTCATTTCAGCCAGCAACCCACTCATTTCAAGTTGAAATTCTTCGGCTTCATTTGGACCTTAGAAGGAAAATAATAATAATTTGTTTATAGCTAATATATATATATATATATAGCTATGATCAGAATGAATTAGCTATTTGAAAAAAAAAAAAATTTGCTCCAGTTGCTATTTAACATTAAACTCTCGCTTTTAACGGAAGCCAAATGCTTTCTTTGGGTTTCTCAAAAACACAGCACAACCTATTCGAAGCCATGATATTCCTCGTTATTGTAAAATTACATTTCATTGACATCTTTTCCCAGCTACAACAGACATTGGCAACTTCTACAATGAAAAGTGACATTAAGAACATCACAAATCTTAATGGCTATTTTAAGTATCAACTAATTCTTCCCACTACAAATGTATTAGATACTTCTGAATAATATGGTTTGAGCTCTTATGTTTTTACTACTTCTCCCTGTAAGCTCAACATTTGTCAACTGATCTTACTTCATACCAATATCCTTTAAAAATAATTGAGTCACATAAACCAAAACTTAGACTGATACTTGTGTCAGAAATTAGAATATGTTAAGCCAAGTTATGCAAAAAATAGTGATTAATGAGAGGTTTTTCTTCTATTGAAAAAGGACTTCAACCCAAAATGTCTGTTATTCATAAACTCAAGACACACAAAACAAGGTAGGACTTGATGCTACTACAGATAAAATGTTTCTACCACTGTATTTAGAGAACTTGAAATAGGTGTTAGAATACTTCTGGCTTGTATTTTTACACAAAATGTATAGTAAGAACCTTACACTACTAGAAGAGGTGAGGCAATGTATTGTTACAGAGGAAGGGAGTCAAATACACTCAGAGAAGAAAGGATGGACATGTCAAAAACAGAAAGAGAAAAGGAACAGATATTGAGGTGAAAGGCAGCAATCTTTGGCCACTGAGTAGATTGATAGTTAAGCCTATAAAGGCATTATGAGTTAATAATTCAGAAGTACAGGTTATCATAACAATTTAACCTGTAGAATGTCATGACTAGTTGACAAAAAAAAATTTTTTTTTTAAAACTACAGTCTGCTTCCTCCACCAAATCAATAAACAAACATTTTATGACTAGATATTATTAGATACTAGGAAGAAATTCTTTACTGTGAGGGTGGTGAGAGGCACTGGAACAGGTTGCCCAGAGAGGTTGTGGCTGCCTCCTCCCCACAAGCGTTCAAGGTCAGATTGGACAGGGCTTTGAGCAACCTGGTCTAGTGGAAGGTGTCACTGTGGCAGGGGGGTGGAACTAGATGATCTTTAAGGGCCCTTCCAACCCAAACCATTCTGATTTTCAGGCTCCTTCTCACAATGTTTCATCAAGAGGGAAAAATACATAGTAAGCATAGAGTTGAGATAACCAACACTAAAAAGAAAATATGGTAACTGTAGTAAGAGAGAATTTTTCCCTGAACAGCAGGTATTTATTACATCAAAATTGCAGACAGAAGGATTGAAATAGGAATATTCTCATGATCCAATTAAAAAAAACCCCACATTGTTTCCTTAAATCCATCCAAGAACTTTAAAAAATCCTCTACGGTTGAACAATTAAAAGAAAAAGCTAATTTCAGAAGAAAGACTGTTTGATCCTCACTATTATTTAACCTCTACTGGCTATTCATTAGGCAAGTTTGAGGTGGAAAATATCCAAAAATCTAACAGCATAGAGACAATACTCCCTGGTACAACAGATTTAGTAATACTCAGCCCAAATCTTTATGGCATGCAAGAACACACATTAAGTGCACGTTTGTGCTATAGTTATGGCTACTTACTGTTAGTTGCCTGCACATTTTCCTCTAGTTTACAAAACAGCCGTAACTCAGATACCAACCAAGCACAGAGTTTGGTGAATTCAGGGGAACTGGCTCCACGAGAGACTGCCTGAGCCAGCGCTCCGTCATCTAACAATGGACCTTTGTAACTGACAAGTAAAATAAAAGCAGTTCATTAACATTTGCTATGAGGGATGTCCTGTGATATTTATTTTATGCTGTATACATATTGAGAGCTACACCCTCATCACATTTGCAATGCTGAACATCTAAACTGGTAAGTACTGAACTATAAGAAAAAGCATATTGAAAATATCTGAGTAAACTTGGTATTTCCATGAACATTAGCTTACTGCCAAAGAGACACTGTCACAAATTATCAAAGGTTTCATCTTGGAGAATGTCATCACATATACAGCGGCAACTTCTCTGCCTCTATCTCTTGAAGATGTTACTTACAATATAACTATCTAGGGCAACTGCAGTTTCAAAGTATAATTCTTAGGCACTGCTTTACAGTATGTTGAATAATTACTGTTGAACTAGTGCATCTTTTCTGTTGTTTCCTATCATGTATTAAAGGATCGCCATGCAAAACAATGCCTTTGATACAAATGGTATAAAAGCAATCTGCAAAACAATATCCTCTTTTGAAAAATTACCTTTTTTAATGGGCACAAGAAAAATAAATAGAAACATTTCGTTGCATAAACAAAATAAGCCAAAATGAGGCCTAGTGTAAGAAAGCATGAGTCTACAGATCAGGTCTTAGAAGACATAGTTTTCAGGACATCTGTGTACTCTGTTGGGGGAGGAAAAACAGTAGGGAGAAGAATGCCTTATTAACCAGGTAGAAGCACAACGTCTGAGCTTACCACAGTATTTAAGAAAAAATGCACAGTATTGTTTTGATACACTGCACCCAAAACAGAAAGACATCCAAGAGTGAGCACAATCAACCAAAATCCCTCTTACAAACTTCCAGGCAAAGGCACCCACTATGTCAGCAACCCAGTGAGTTCAGTCAACTCTTGGCCAACCTCAGAAGTAAAAAAACCCCCTCTCAAACAGCAAATTAAAATGTTAATTTCCACACTTTGCTCTTGTGCTTAACATCACATATAAAGGATTTGGACTTCACTGTAACAGCCTGTTACCTCATCCAACCAAAATGAAGAAGTCACACTCAAAAGTAACTTTTACCTCACAGAGCAGCTCGATTAGTGGCAGAGAGTTAATCTACTAACAGCTGGTGGGAAGCTGTAATCTGATGTATGACAACCCTACTACATTACCACAGTAGGCCAGACAATTCAACAGGTTAATTAGAGGAAGTTTAAGTTCTGTCCCAGGGCCATTTCAGACCTACACGTGTATAGGGACTCAGAACAGAAACATTCAACTTACAGATCAACGTAGAAGGGAAGTGATGACAAGCCTTTGGCTTTGGTAGCATCTGTATTTAAGTCACTGGTCACATCAGAGGACCCTTCTCTAGAATTTTTCTTTGACAGATATGACATTTTTTCTGTGTTATCTCTGCTATTTATGACTTCAGCTGCACATCTACTTGGCCAGTAATCCAACTTGGAGATTCCTGACAGCAACCATCTTTTTCCTTCCATTTCTACCAATGGTACATGTTTTAGAGTTACACTTCCCTTTTGGTAACATTATGCTGTCCAGCTTGTTTGCTTTTTTGATAGTTCAATAAACTGATTTACAAGGCAAAAGGCCACTATCTGAGCACCTCAAGCACAAATCCAAACAACTCTTTGATGTGTGATGCTATTAAAAAAAAAACCATAATCAAGTAATATATTTAGAAATGCCTTCAGTATCTGGTTAGAAAAAATAAGTTGAACTGTGAAGGACCATGTTGCTACTGTCCAGATCTTAAAACCTCAAACACCCCAGTCTTCCGAGAGACAAGGAAAGAGAAGTCATTTAGTCACATGCAGCAGTTTTCCTAGCTGTTATTAATACTGTTGAAGCCCCATGTCTTTTGCCCTCCAAATTTTCTTTTCAACCACTGTTGACAATCTTGGCTGATATGACTTATTTTTAATCTCCTTTCATTGTTTTATTTATTTATGTCAAAAATAGACAGCAATGTTTTCTGCCTATAATTACAGATAAGGAGCACTCCTTCAAGCCACTAATATCCTTTCAAGCATATGGCAGAAAAAAGAAGCCAATCACAGTATGTGCATCATAGCAGAGACCTTTTCACATTTCAGTCAGAGAAATACCTGTCAAAACAGAAGCCTATTTGTCAAGCTTTGGAACTATCATCACCAACTCAGCCTGGAAATACAATCTTTGTTGCAGTATAATGACTCTAGCCACAAAGTGATTTATGGGAATGCGGCCAATGTGAGTAAATACAGCTGTTTGCCTAGCAGCAGCAGTAAAATTGTAACCGTCTCTTGTCTGAACTCTCAACAGTTTACAGACATGCAAGCTTACAGTAGGGCATGTTCTCCTTGCTTTCCCTTTCATATTTATATAACCTTTACTGACTCTGACTAACAGGTTTAAACAACAAGTTTCTCGTGCTATCTTGTATTTTTAAAAAAGGGGAAATACTGTCATTTTCTTGCTATTATTTTTCACAAAATATAAAGCCTGAAAGACTTCCTCTACCCTGATTTCTCTTAAAAGGATTCTTTCTTCCTTCTTCACCCTCACTCCATCGAACAGGGGGGATACGGATGAGATGCCATCACGAGAATTGAGATCAGCACGCACTTGCAGATAAAATGTTTGCAAAGGTCGTACTGCTAAAAACCTGCCACTTCGGCTTGGTGCTTTTCTCAAGCCCAAGCGGTACCACCACCAGCTCCGCTATGGAGGCGGCACCCCAGCTCTGACGAAAAGAGACCTCTCCAGGGGCTGCCCCGGGCCGCGGGCCTCCGGGGCGACACCAGCGCCGCCTGCCCTTGGCGCCCAGCGGCCCTCCCCGCGCCAGGGG